ATGCAACACCCCACAATGGGGTGGGTGAGTGAGAAGCATGAGGATCAGGCTTGTAACTAAGGAAGCCTTGGGCTTAACAGGACCTTCCTGGAGAAAGCCACATTTCAGCAGCAGCCTAAGGTGAGTTAGGAGCTGGCCAGGTTACGGAGGCCCAGAGAGCATGGATACCTGCCGTGCATGCACATGTGTGTTGTGTATAAATGTGTATTCGGTGGGCTGCTTAAGGGTCCCAGGCAAAGAAAACCACACACGCCATTAGCCCAGAGGTAGAAAAGGACGGTACTGTCAGGTATGTCTGGGAAGGAGGCAGGGAAAGTGGTAAAGAGATCAGTGGGGAGGGAAGTGGGGTACATAAGCCTTGAAAGCTTCCTGTAGAATCCAGGGCCTGTCCTTACTCCCTGGATTCTAGACCCAGCCAGGTTACCAACCAGGATGAGCCACCTGAATTGAGTCACCAAAATTCTCTGAGTCTCTTTAGCCAAAAATTGTCAATTGTTATAAAGGTTGCATTCTATGCTCTCTTAGCACACCGAAATAAAACTGGCAAGACTGACGGTGCTTTTCACTTAATCCTCCCATCGACTCTCCCAGTGACTCCTTATTACCCCCATTTAGCAGATGAGAGGAGAGAAGTTCAAAGAAGGTTAAGTGACTACATTCTGTAAGCCTATGATTTTCTGGAAGAAACTGCCCTCAGGCTTTCTGCTTGAATAACTGAGTCCTTGGCTCTTGAGAACTTTGGATTTTATGCAGGGAAGAGAAGGATGACTTGTTAATGCCGACAACAAAGATAATAACAGCTGCTATTGATCGGTGCTTTCTCCTTGCCAAATACTCTACATACCACGTAGGTACACATCCACTTCTGAGCCTCACCATCTTGTGAGGTAGGGACGCGTATTTCCTGTTTCAGAGATGGGGAAACTTGGCCTTACAGTGGTCTGTCAGCTGGCCAAGGGCCAAGTCACATGGCGGCTGGGAAGGGCAGAGCAAGGACATGGCTCCAGGTAGCTGACTGCACCCACAGCTGGTGCTCCGAACCACTTCTCCATGAGGCTTACAGGTTTTGAAGCTGGGCTAGCCCTGTGGCACAGTGGGTAAGCCCTTGCACAGGGAGATGGATCCCACATGGCTGACTGTGGTTCAAATCCCAGCTCCGGTGGTTTGAAAAACATGCTGGGTGCATGTGCACGCATAGTCAAATCCCAACAGGATGGAGAAATGCAGAAGGAGTGTGGTGAGATCACACCCCAGCAGATAGTGCTCTTTTCCTCTCTGACAGGCAAGCACACATGTTCTGTAATAGTCAAAAAGTGAAAAGGATTAAAACTCTTCTAAGCACAACCTGGAAGCTGAGGCCTGGAGAGGTGGCAGGATGAGACCAGGGCCCGACAATAAGGCAGGAGCAGAATCAGTTGTGCGTAGCCGACTTCGATGGCAGTGACAGTGTTGGGGTGTCCTCACAGGGTGGCTGGAACACACTCTCTGAGGCCAGCTGCCTGAGTCCCAGTGCTGCCACTCCCCAGTTGGGTGACCCAGAGAGCTGAAGTCTCCGACCTCAGTTTTCCCCTATAGCAGTGGGATAAAGGAGCAGTTCTTCCCAGGGCCGTGTGTGTGTGTGTGTGTGTGTGTGTGTGTGTGTGTGTACGTGTGAGGTTTGGGGGGTGCAGGGGGAGCTTGGGCCCCAGAGCAGCCTGAGCATGTGCTGCCATCCATTTGTTTCCTGCCCCATGCTAGGCACTGTGCCTGGATAGTTCATCTCTAATGCGCATGGCTCTCTGTGGAGAGGGATTCCTTGTTTTTGAGAGAGATTTTTGGCTCTAGTGTGTGTGCTTGCTGGAGAGACAGAGATACAGAAAGTGAGAGATCACCCCCAGAGAGGATGGTCATGCCGCAACCCCTTCTCCTCCTGGGATTTTGGGCACGCCATATGCCTGGTGTGACGCATACACACACCACGCCTGGTGTGAGTCTCAAGCTGCCAGTTCCAGGACTTGAACCGTGGTCAGCTACATGGCAGTTCAGTCCCTCAACCACTATGCCACCTGCCGGCCCTCTGTGGAGAGGGATTCTAAATCCTATTTTCCACGTGGAGAAACATGCTTGGAAAAATTACATAGTGTGCCAAAGAATCACAAGGCATGGAAGCTGGGGGAACTCGACTGGAACCCGCCATTGCCTGATGCCAAGTCAAGTCTTTTTCACAGTAACCTCTCCCTCTGCATACGGCTTTGCAGAGGGCACCGACATCCACCACCTCACTATCATGAAGCATTTCAAAATGTTGATCATTCTAGTTTTGAATATTTAATTTTATGTATTACTATTATTATTTTTAGATTTGGTATAGGGCATGTGCACTCACCAGGGAGGGAAAAGAGAGAGGGAAAGTGAGAAAGCAAACTGCCAGGTTAGGGACTCAAACCATGGTCATCCATGTGGGAATCTAGTGCCTTAACCACCATGCCACCTGCTGGCCCCATTTGTTGATAATTCTTACATCTCCATGACAGGGGTGTGTGTATGTGTGTTGAGGTGGGATGCAGGTTAATGAATAAGATCACACAGCCTATAAGCAGGATAAATAACTGCATTCGAGCATCCTCTATTATTCTGCAACAGAATTATCCTTACTCTAGAAGGGTAAGGACACCCGACCTGTGTGTAGAGCCCTTGATGCTCAGTACACCTGCCACACCCATACCTCGTCGCACCCACATCAGCCCTGTAGGAAGGGGAGAGAGCTGCAGATATCACCTCCATTGGTAGCAGCTGCTCCAGGTCGCCTGGCAACACATGTCACCCTCTCCTAACCTAATCCTGCCTGGACTTGCATTATGAGTCTCACATGGGGGAACCTGCCTGGCGAGTTACAACAGTCCTGTTTCCCTCGAGAGAAGGTGAACCCCTGACTGATCTGCTGATCTGATACAAAGAGAGGTCTGCAGGTTCCCTAGACAATGAGTCATCTGGACACAGTGGCCTGAGACTGCAGCTACAGAAGCCAAGAAGCTGAATGTGAGCCTAGCCAAGCAGGCCCCAGGTTGCCCCACCTCGGGGTTTCTTTCTGGGGAGACGCTACATGTCGCAGTGAACGGTGACTGCTGAAGCCAGTCTGAGTGGCAGTGTTGTACAAGGCATCTGAAGACAGCCTGCTCCTCAATCGAGTCTTCTTCAAAGTGCACACCACCACTGGTGCTTTCACCCTTACTCTAGAGCTACGTTCCATGCTGAGGATCCACTGTGCTCTCGTCGACTGTCAGCAAACTGTAACTCACTCCTTGGGCTCCCTCTCAACACACGTGGGCTGTTCCTGCACCGTCTGCATGCCAGGGCTGTTGCACAGTCAGTCCGAGGCTTCTTCCTCAGCTGCTCAGTGGGGTAATGATACCGGCCTTGCAGACTGGTTGTGGGGCAGGGAAGAGGTGGTGACCTCAGTCTCCCTCCAAGCAAATGCCACTTTCCTTTATCGGTAATAATCCCTGGATCTCCTGATTGGCCAGTACCATGTGCCAGGGACTGAGAAGCAGTGACATCCATCTTATTATGGTGAAGCATCTGGCCTCTTTTTAAATGCTGGTAATTTTTTTTTTTTTTTGGAGAGGTTTTTGCTATAGGGCATGTGTGCTCACCAGAGAGAGAGAGAGAGAGAGACAGAGAGACAGGAAGTGAGAAATCACCCCCGCCCCCGCCCCGGCCATGCGTCAATCCCTTTTCCTTCATCCTCCTCTTGGGATCTTGGGCACACACGCACACCCGCCTGGTGTGAGTTTAAGCCACTGGGTTCAGGACTCGAACCACAGTCTACTACATGGGAGTCCAGTGACATAGCCATTATGCCAACTGCTGGTCGCCCAATGCTGGTAACTCTTTAATGTCCATGACTCGTAGCGGTGTGTGTGTTCAGTGCGGGGTTGATAAGCAATAAAGCTCAGCCCATAAGCAGGATGGACAATTGCATTCAAGTATCATCTTTCAGAGGAGGCCCGAGTCCTAGCACCTGTCCCGGGTTCCTGTTTCCTATCGTTTCTGTGACTGACAAGTGCATGACTCCCTGGGCACAAGCCCTGACTTCCTCTCAGAGGGTCCCTGTGGTCAGTCTGTGGGCGACCAGTGTCTCACGTGATTCAGCTGCGCCCTGCCCTCCAGCCCTCCTCACACCCTGTGACTCCACGCCGTGGGACATGCTCCCACTCCTGGGGGACCGTGTCTCTGCTTGCTGCCAATGTTCCACTCAGCTGCAGAGTCCAACCACCAGGCCAGGCCTGGCTTAAGCACTTCCCTCAGAGAGGCTTATCCAAAGTGCAACAGATGGCCTTCCTTGTCAAAAATGATTTCCCCGATGCCAGCTGAGACAACCCAGGCCCTGCAGTGCCCACTGGTGTTAAATCCCTGCTTCTCCTGCTCTTTGGAAACGTGTTATTCTCGCAGGCCCTCTGGCAAAGCTTCTGAGCCTGGCTCCTTTTAAATGCAGCCCCGAGGATGGTCCCTGCTGGTCCCTGCAGAGTGTCTCCAAGGCTGCTTAGCATCTAACACCCACGTGATGACCTGGGTCCAGTACCCAGCTCCCTGCAACGTTTCCTGAGGCTTTCGGCACTTTTCTGACCTTCGGCCTTCATGGGCACTGACACTTTGATTAAATAATTAAACAAATGATTCAGTGCCTCTGTCACAGTAGCCACATTTCAAGTGTTCCAAGCTTGTGTGCAGCACGGTTATAGAATATTTCAGCGTCGCCAGAAGCTCTACTGCACAGCGCTGCTCCAGGGCCACATTCCCAGGAGTGGGGTCCAGGCTCTGCCACTTACTGCGCTACCTTACCGGAGTTATTTAACTTCTGTGCCTCAGTTTCCTTATCTGGGAAGTGGGGATAAAATTGTGCCTGCCTCATAGGGTTCTTTGGGAGAATGAAGTGAGTTAAGACATGAAATGTACTTAGATGGCTTCCTAAGTGTCTGCTTATTTTTAAAAGTTATTTTTCATCTCTTTACTCCTGATAGCGTGCGCGCACTTGCACATGAGCAAAGAAGAGGAAGGGGAGGTGAGTACCTTCCACGGGCTCTGGTCAGACCACAGTACCTTTCTCCCAACTATCCGGCGCATTGGGTGCAGGACATGCATGCACAGGCCTGGCGTGTTTCAGGCTGACTAAGCCAGGGACTAAAATCATAGTCATTGCGTGGAATCTGACTTCTCTCCCTTGTGCCATGGGGTCAGCCTTCATGTTCGCTTTTTAATAAAAACCACCATGGGTTTGGTACCAAATCTGGACTGAGCCTCATCCGAGGCATTTGATGAACACAGGCTCTTCCTCTTCTCCTTCACTTTTTTTTTTTTAGAAGTTTTTGCCTTAGGGTGTACGTGCTTGCCAGAGAAAGAGAGAGACAGAGATAGTGAGAAGGAAAGTGAGAAATCCCCCTCCAGAGGAGAAGGTCATGCTATAATCCCTTCTCCATTCTCCTCATGGGACCTTGGGTACTCGTCCACATGTGCCCAGCGTGAGTTTCAAGCCACCAGATCCTGGGCTCGAACAGTAGCTGGCCATAGCTCATGTCTGAATGGGTGTTTTTGCAAAGGCCAGCAGGTGGCTTGGTGGTTGAGGTGCTGGACTCCTATATGTTAGAGTCCCAGACCCGGCGACTTGAAAATCATGTTGGGTATGTGTGTGCATGCCCAAAGTCCAGGGAGAAGACTGCAGGAGAAGGGACTGTGGTGTGGCCGTCTCCCCTGGCACAGGTGGGAGGGAGTAACTTCTCACTTTCCCTCTGTCTGTCTCTGTCTCTCTCTGGTGAGTGTACATACCCTAAGATGAAAACATAGAACAAAACAAAACAAAACAAAAAAAGAATGAGTATTTACAAGTGAAAAGATAAATTGCTGGGCCAAAGAACAGGAATATTTAACATTTTAGAAAAGGTAATTTCAAACTGCCTTCCAAAAGAGAAAGTGCAGGTTTTACATTCTAATAATGTGTGTTCTTCCTTAGCCTGAGTGATCCCGGATTACCTAACCTTTGAAATCCTTGCTTAGCTGATAGGTGTGAAATATCTTAAGGCCATTTTGAAATTCATTACCTTAACTACAAGAGTGTTTGAGCATTTTTTTCTGTTTGTTAGATATTTGTGTTTACTCGTGCATGAAATGCTATCCATGTCTTTGCACGTTCTTTTTGCATTGGGTTGTTTGTTTATTCTGTTTATTGATTTATAGGGCTTTCTGTACAGTAAGGAGGTTAATATATTTTATATAATGCAAATATTTCTTTGGTGATCTGATTGCTTATGTCTGTTTTTATTATTATTATTACTATATTTTTTTTGTCATGCAGAAATGCTTAACTTGTAGTTCTCAGTCTTTTTCTTTATGGTTTCTGGGTTCATGAAGGTCAGGCAATTTCCTGGGCTGCTTTTCTTCATAAGGTTTGCTCAGACTCCCTCTGGTCTAAAGGCCAGTGAAGAAGCATAGGTAGATAAAGTAGGGGTGCATGCCTCTGCTCCCTGTCCTTGTACCCAGGGGACCCTGTGCATCTGAATGAGCCACTTCTTTATTTCAAGGTTCTGATATCCCTCTGGTGGGGGGCGTACCAAGAGAAGAAGCACAATCCTTTCAGGACCATCTGATTTTCCTCTGGAAATGCCAAGAGTAATTCCCCCTTCCCTGGGACTCCTCCCTGGAACAGAGCTGCAGGGATATGGGGAGTCAAAAGTTTGTCTTTTCACAGGAAGTTCTCACTTGGGGTTTGTTGAAGGAATGGATCGAGATTTTCAAAAGTTCTTTAAAACTCAATGAAACCTCTCTGATATTAAAATTTGTGGGTTGTTTGTTTGTTTTCTACTTTTAAGAAGGAAGAAACCTGACATTGATCAGATGTATACTATTGGCCGTCGGAAAAGTCATGACACATTTTTACATAGAAAAACACAGGACTTTTCTCATGATCCAATGTAATCTAGACACTAAAATACATGAATGTGTGTCTTTTTATTATGAAACTTTCCCCCTTCTGTTGGCTATAAATAGGATTATTCTCATTTTTAGATGAGGGGGTCTATGACTTGGAGAAATGACCAGGAACTTGTCTCACTGTAGGTGGTTGAGGGCACCTGGCCCAGGCCCTCTGGCTCCTGGCATAGTGTTTAAGGGCTCTGGAACAATGAGAAAATGTTCTTTTGACCCTTCGATTAGTATCATTTGATCTTAAGCAAATTACTTAACACCTCTCAGCTTAGTTTCCTTAACTGTGAAATAAAGATAACTATGGTTTTTCACATGGATTCTGTGGGGGTTAAGTGGGAAAGTAAAGACAAAATGAAAAAGTTTAATATCTGGCCCACAGGAAAGGTTGAATACATTTTAGGCATCATAATAACAACAGCAGTAGCAGCAACAAGTATTCTATTGCTTCCGCCCCATCATATTACTTCTCTATCAATTGTCCAGCCTTCCAGCTGGGTACATTCATACGCTTCATCTACTCCGTGGCCACGATGATGCAGTATCAATGATGTGTGTAGCAATTTTATCCATCATAGTCTGGAGATGGTCTGAATGCCAATGAATAGGTGAACCAATAAAAACCTTGCATCAATAGTATATTCATACAATGGGACACAGAAATTAAAAAAAAAAAAGACTGACAAATGCAACACCATGGATAAATCTCACAGGTGTTCACAGACTCATTTGAGTTAAAGGAAAGAAGCCAGACATACAAGCATATGTACCGGATGATTCCATTTCTCTAAAATTCAAGACCAGGCAACACTGAGCACTATTTATAGATGTCGGAAGAATAATATTTATAGGCTGTCTCAGGATGGGGTAGGGGGTGCATCAAGAAGCCTTATGGTTTTGCTGATCACGTTTTATGTTGATATGGTTATGGCTCTAGAGATGGACACATAAAAAACATCACTGAGCTGTATACTTCCATGTACTTTATGCAGTCTAATGTATTCTTCGAAATTCTAAGGGGAAGGCAAATAAAAATGCAAATCTAAAAAATGCTACACGGGAAGGCACTCTATTTAAATACTGAAAACAGTAGATATTATTACAGGCCACTTTCTCTATTATGGGCTCTGTGTGAAACACTTCACATGTTATCTTTTATCTAACCTTTGTGACAATGCTGACAAGCAGGGACTATCATCATTTCTACTAGATAGATGAAACTGGTGGTAAGGCAGGTTATATTCTCTGGTCCTGGCCATGTGCCCATACAGGGCCAGGACGGTGTCTCTCCAAGGGTGAGTGTTACCTTCTGAAAACACAAGGGATCCCCACATGAGAGGTGGCCAACCTCCAAGATGGCTGCCAGTGGCCTTCACTTCCTGGTATGCATGCTCTTGGGTAATTTTCTCACATGTTACAGCAGACCTGTGGTACCAACGGGATAGAGTGGAAATCCAGAGTGTGACTTCCAAGGTCATAAAAGATGTTACATTTTTTTCCTGGTGTTTGCTCAGAGTACTTGCTCTAGAGAAAACCAATTGCCATGGGGAAGGACACCCAGCCAGTTATGGAGAGGTCCATGGGTGAGAAACTGAGGCCTCCTGCCAGCAACCGGCATCAGTGTGCCAACTGTGTGAGAACCGTCCCAAAAGATCTTCAGAGGAAGGTAGCCCTGGCTGAGTCACCAGGTGAGATCACCTAGCTAAGTCATTCATAAATCTCTGACCTTCAGAAAGTGGGTAGAAAAATAAATGTAGTTTTAAATGGCTGAATTTTAGGATAATCTGTTACACAACATTTGAAAACTAATATATAAGAGAATGATCATTTAACAAAATGGTGAATAGCTCTCACCGAAGAGCCTCTATCTTTTTTTTTTTCTTGATGTTTTTGCCTTAAGGCACAGAGACAGCGAGAGGAAAAGTGAGAAATTATCCCTCCCACCACCTCCCCCCGGGGGGTGGGGGAAGATGGCCACACTGCAATTCCTTCTCTTCCATTCTCCCAGGATCTTGGGCACGCATGCAATACACACCTTGTGTGAGTTTCAAGGCATTGGGTCCAGGACTTGAACTGTGGTTGGCCATGTGGGAGTCTAGTGATGTAACCACTACACCATCTGCTGGCTTCAAGCCTGTATCTTAAAGGAATCACAACTCCAGTAATTTCTACTCCACACCAGGGCTCAGTTCAAGTGGCTATTTTTCAGTACACAGCCTGCTTTTCAGTTGTTTCCTGGCCTTCACGATTCCCTTTAGCTTTTTAGTTTTACTCAATAACCACATAACTAAGGTCAGGAACTTTAGCCATGCTATGCTTTCTTTAGCTGTATTCTCTCAAACTTAATTGTACAGGCCCGAATAACTCTAAATATTACACAGAAACAAAGAAAACCTTGCAAAACTTGCTTATTAATAAATTAGCCCTGTGGAAGACACAAAGCATACCAACAGTTCAGCTGTGTTTGATACTTGCTTTCTTCATACAATGTTAATCATCAGTGTCAAGAGTTTCCCAATTCTGTTAAGAGATACCTTAATCATCAAGAGTTGACATTATTAAGAGGTTACTTTTTGGTCAGAACTTAGCATTTGACTGTGGAAGAATCACAGGACATGGGAAAGAACCAGAAATATTTTTGGTCCAGTCCTTTTGTCTCTAGGTAGATGTTTTAACTGTATTCGAATATGGCCAGAGTTAGAAGTCAGAAGCGCATGCAATATTGGTAGCAACTTCCACTTTCTACTTTTTTGTTTAATCCTAGTAACCAAATTAATGTCTTTCCAACTCAGACAAATTTCTACTGCTTTTATTTTGGCTCCATTTCTTTGACCTTCAGAAAGTGGGTAGAAAAATAAATGTAGTTTTAAATGGCTGAATTTTAGGATAATCTGTTACACAACATTTGAAAACTAATATATAAGAGAATGATCATTTAACAAAATGGTGAATAGCTCTCACCGAAGAGCCTCTATCTTTTTTTTTTTCTTGATGTTTTTGCCTTAAGGCACAGAGACAGCGAGAGGAAAAGTGAGAAATTATCCCTCCCACCACCTCCCCCCGGGGGGTGGGGGAAGATGGCCACACTGCAATTCCTTCTCTTCCATTCTCCCAGGATCTTGGGCACGCATGCAATACACACCTTGTGTGAGTTTCAAGGCATTGGGTCCAGGACTTGAACTGTGGTTGGCCATGTGGGAGTCTAGTGATGTAACCACTACACCATCTGCTGGCTTCAAGCCTGTATCTTAAAGGAATCACAACTCCAGTAATTTCTACTCCACACCAGGGCTCAGTTCAAGTGGCTATTTTTCAGTACACAGCCTGCTTTTCAGTTGTTTCCTGGCCTTCACGATTCCCTTTAGCTTTTTAGTTTTACTCAATAACCACATAACTAAGGTCAGGAACTTTAGCCATGCTATGCTTTCTTTAGCTGTATTCTCTCAAACTTAATTGTACAGGCCCGAATAACTCTAAATATTACACAGAAACAAAGAAAACCTTGCAAAACTTGCTTATTAATAAATTAGCCCTGTGGAAGACACAAAGCATACCAACAGTTCAGCTGTGTTTGATACTTGCTTTCTTCATACAATGTTAATCATCAGTGTCAAGAGTTTCCCAATTCTGTTAAGAGATACCTTAATCATCAAGAGTTGACATTATTAAGAGGTTACTTTTTGGTCAGAACTTAGCATTTGACTGTGGAAGAATCACAGGACATGGGAAAGAACCAGAAATATTTTTGGTCCAGTCCTTTTGTCTCTAGGTAGATGTTTTAACTGTATTCGAATATGGCCAGAGTTAGAAGTCAGAAGCGCATGCAATATTGGTAGCAACTTCCACTTTCTACTTTTTTGTTTAATCCTAGTAACCAAATTAATGTCTTTCCAACTCAGACAAATTTCTACTGCTTTTATTTTGGCTCCATTTCTTTTGCTTCATCTTCTGAGAACATGAAGAACAAGTATGGAGAACTCTCTTCAGAGAAACCCTTCATATATTCAGAGAGCAATTACATCACAATGGGTCCTCGTCATCTTCAGGTGAAACAGCTCTGGTTCCTCTGCACCAACCTCACAGGGCTTTTCCTTTTTTTCCCATTGCATTGCATTGCATTGCTTTGCATTGCATTACACTGCACTGCACTGCATTGCATTCTATTCCATCCCATCCCATCTGTCCCATGCCCGGTCCTTCCGATGCTCCCTCTCTGAAGCTGCAGTGCCAAATGAAGACAGCAAAGGACTGCACAGCATCAAAGAATAACGGTTTTGCACTTCCTCCGTTATTGCATCATGGGATCACTGTAGAACTTATTTTCTCAGTTTCGGACTCAAAGATATAGCAGACGTGTGAGTCATTTTGTCCCACCCCCTAGTAGCTGAAAATTGAATGGCCCAGGGGGGCTGAGTGGTGGCAGAGCAGTAATGTGACACTCTGGGAGGCCAACCCACCTGGGAAGGTTCTGGGTTCATGTCTGGAGACCTCCCTGAACATACCAGGTGAATCTACACCCATATCAGGACTTAAGCTGGAGCTAGACTGTAACATCAAGATCCTTCTAGGGGTGTGTGCTCGCTCTCTCTCTCTCTCTGTACCTTTGTCTCTCTTCATGAAAGATACAAACTCAGAAGCAAATAAAAGAACTCAGAGCCCAAAGACAACTTCTCCTGGTCACCCGGTGACAGCCTGAGCTGAGTCTGGAACCCAGGTATTCCGACCTCTTCTCTTGTGTCTCTAGTGTCTTTTTTCTCATTTTGGGGGGTCGCATGGGTGTGTCCTCCCTCCTGTGCTGAATGTCTGTCCTCTTATCACTTCTGACAATAGTAGGACATAGGTAGGGCCTTGCAGCTGGCACAGATAACAAGCTGTTTGTAAAAGTGAAAGCCTGGACACCGCCAGGGTCCTGTATTCCATGCCCAGGGAAGACCTGACTGTGCTGCGGCAGTGAGGTACAGGATGAGCTGTCCAGTGAAAGGAAGAACACATACTTGCAGAGTAGCAAACTGAGCATGGGGTTCCACTCATGTTTGAGGGTATGCACACACGTAGGAACCTGTACCACATTCTCTAGAAAGATACGTATAAATTGCTGATGACAGGTCAGGGTGGGTGCTCAAGATCTTTACTTTTTATTTAATATCCTTTAGGACTATTTGAATTTTTAACCATGTGTGTTTATTACTTTTGCAATAAAAATAGTATAAATATTTAACATGTTAATGCTGGGGACTTACATTATCATAGTTGTCACACTTCCCTATCTTTGATTTTTTTCAGTGACATGAGTTGCTTGTGTCATTAGAAAAATGATAGCGGTAACACGATGGTTAAAGAGGCGGGATCCTACATGGCCAACCATGTGGTTCAAGTTCCAGACTTGGTGGCCTGAAAGACATGCGGGGCACATTTTGACATTGCACAATATCCTGAAAGGAGGGAGAGAGAGAAGAGAAGGCTATAGAAATGCTTTTAAGACACCAGGCACACCTGTATTTCATAAAGGTAAGATGATCTAGACTGCCACATGGACCACAGGGTGATCATGCCCCATGGTGGGTGATTTCTCCCTCTCCCTGGCAAGTACATATCCCTCTGGTAATTTAAAAAAAAAAAAAAAGGAGAGAGAGATATATACTAAAACCATACATATTAACAGTCAGTTCTACTTCAGTTCTATAGAAATACTTTTAAGACACCAGGCACAGAGAGAGATATATTTCATACAGGTAAGATGATCTAGACTGCCACATGGTAGCGATTTCTCAGATGTGTGTGTGTGTGTGTGTGTGCGTGTTGGGTGTGGCTAGAGTTGTGCAGAGGTTGTCTTTGGTTGTGGTGATGTCTAAGAAGGCTGCTACTGGTACTTCATACCCTGGAGCTGGGAATGCTAAAATGTCCTGCCCCAAATGCCCAGGGAGTCCTGCTGAGAAACATCTGAGAGTACTGGATCTATTCTAAAGGAATTTAATACCCATAGAGAGTATGCGAATGCCTCTACTAAGCCCTCATTTCAACCTCACATCCCTTCAAGGTTAAAAAGAAGCATCCCTATTGCCTCCTGCTGGTGGAGAGGAAACAGCCAGCAGGCAGGTTACCTGGAAGCCTCTGAACGGGAGAATTCCCCTAGAAAGTAAGAGGCAGATGGTGGCAGGATGGTAGAAAGCCCAAGAAGAGCCTTTGTTGAATGCTTGTTCACCCAAGTCATGTGCCAAGCCTGTCACATCTCTTACACGGCTAACAGGGTGGCACGATCCCTATTTCACGGATGAGTAAACTGAAGCCTGGGCTCGCACCAGCAGATCCAGGGCACTAGGCTAGTGAATGGCTCAGCTCAGACCCTGATCTGTGAGTCTCCCAAACCCTTGCTCCTTGCACTTCCCATGTAGCCTCCCAAATAGACATGCTCAGAGACCAAGGGCCACCTGGAAGCAATTTCTTCCCCAGCTTCTTTCCCCCAGGACCCATGTTATGCTGGCAGGGAATTTGCAATGGGAAATTAACCTCTGTCTGTAAGGGCCAATTACATAGTCTAGAATAAAAAGAGCAATGTGGGCCTGGACTCAGGCAAAACATGGGCTCTTCCCTCTCCTCACTGCCTGTGGGGGCAGCTTAGAGGGGCAAGGGAAGGGTAGGGGAAATCCTGTTCTATTTTTGAGAAAATAGTTGCATCTGATT